AGAAGTCTGCCTACGTTTCAGAGGTGCCTGCTGCCACCATTATCAGGGGGGGTGCTTTTTTATGCATTTTCCTGGCAATGCAGGGAGGCGACCTGGTTCTCTCTTGAATCGTGCCCCCTCCCTCTGTGCCGAGCAAGTTAAATTTTCTGGCTCCCCACAGAGGACCCATTCGGATGTCCTCGGAGGTCAATGCAGCATCTTGAAACGATTTTGAAATCGAATTGCGTGATCCTCTGGCTCGCGGCGCCGTGTAGTCTGGTAGACAGTCACGCCATGCGAGAGTTGTACAGTCAGCGTTAGAGTAAAATGTGACCTTCATCAGTTTTGAGGCTCTCCGCCGCTGTTAAAATGACAGCCTCGAGAGACGTCTGCTCCTAGGTTCAGAACACTACCAACAAAATACCGAGTATCGACTGAGAGCCGTCCTCTGCGTGTCTGATAACGAAATATTCGTGGTGATCGTCCCACGACTTGTTCGAATTTCGTGACCCACGAAGCTCGAGTCTGCTCTTCGATGCTTCGATTGGCGTCTCGTGTGAGCAACAACATTTTTTTGCGTTAAATAAATTCCCGCCTGCCGTAAAGAATGCCTCGTTGTTTCTTTGATCGTGGTTTTTCAGAAGAAGGGCGAAGATGAACCTTGAGTTAGTTAGAAAGATAAAAAGAAAGAAAGGAGAGAAGGAAAATATTTCAAAGCGGCGGATAAATAAAATAGCCCTTGAAACGTCGTGGCTTAAGAAGGGAATAAACATTAAAAAGTATTTTTGAGATTTGGCAGTGCGTAGACAATTGATAGCGCACGTGTGCACAGCTGTTCCTACTCGTCGCTGCCATTCGCGAGGTGGAGGTCGGGTCGCGGTTGGCGGCGTGGCCTCCGCACTGAATAAATTATGCAGATTGGAGCTACGACGGTCGCAAAGCCAAGAGCAAATTCTGTCTTCTCAGACGAACAGCGGACCTCGGTTTTCTCTGTGGCCTGATTTGAAGCGCTGTCGCATGGCAACGCGAAGAGGCAGTAGTGACTGATCGTAGTGACTGTACTCCATCAGCTAGTGTCGTCATTGTTAATCGTGGACAAATCAGAGACCGGGTTTGATCCCGGAGCTGCGTTGAAAGTCACGAAGGACGGACGAGTGTAGCCTTGGCGTTCTGCTCCCACCCAAGTCGACTGAGGCACGTTCCGAAGTAAACAGAAGTTCACAGCGCATGTCACACGCGCAGACAATGCGATGTAAAATGGCGCCAGCCCGGAACAAAGGAACGTCAGCTTGCGTGATAAGCACGAAACTTGAAGTCGCCTCTGCTGATAAGAGTCTCTGGCGCGCAAACCTTGACGGAGACACGAGGACTCTTGCCCCAGCATTTGCAAGTTTTTGTGCTCAACTGTACTGGGTTCAGGTCCCGGTGCTATGCTGGCAAGCGAACTACGCCAGATTTACTGCATTCTTTCATCGCGATCTGCTAAAACGTCGGATGTTAGCCAATTTTTTGCAGCTGAATCCGAGAGTCGGTCCTATTTCATTTCAACTTCTCCACTGACCGCCGAATCGCAAAGGTTCGGTCGCCTTTCTTCGCGCTCAGTTCAAGGTCGGCCCTATAAACCCCGTGAAAACGCGCCACGCCTCGCAACGCACTAGGCGAAGTGCGTGTGGGTTGCTTGTACAGTGCGTTCTGCGACAAAGTTGAACGCAAAAATCACTTCCCTGCATTTTCGAGAGCCCTCGTGCGCGCTGTGTAGAAGGCATGCAAGGTTAAATCCGTCGGAACCCTACAGTACGCTGTGCTAATGAGTGTTTTGTCTGATCAGGAACGCGTGGCACTTGGCCGCCATCACCTGGATCCTCCTGAGCGGCGTCGTCACTGCCGAGCAACACGGGCATCGGCCGAGAGGGCCACGCCCCGGACAGCGGACAGAAGACGTCGTGGAAAGGGACCGAGGCCCGGAGGACGAGCTCGAGCTGACAGCGCAGGTAGCGACAGTCGTGCACAGTCTGACCACTTTGTCGTGACCGCCGGACTGCGCGGCCGCGGGGCAGGCTAGACAGTGAAGCCGTACACTCATCGCAAACAGGCTTTCGACCGGCCACGCAAATGTTGACTTGTAGCTGTTCCTGTAATATCCTCACCGAAAGGAACATTTTTTGCCTTGGCTCCATTCTTCTGTCGTGTTTATTTTTCCGAGCTGCGGAAATCATCATCGCCCTGATTACTGAAACGTCGGTAAACTTCGAACGACCTCCTCAGCCCAACTGAAGGCCTCTGCCTACACAGGACAGAACAATGTATTGCCTTGAGAGTATTTCGAGCCAACGACCCCAGTGTGCGAGCAGTCAGGCCTCTGCCTACACAGGACAGAACAACGTATTGCCTTGAGAGTATTTGGAGCCCACAACCCCAGTGTGCGAGCAGGTTAGCACTGCCGCTGTTTCGGGCGAAAGAGGGCGTGACCAGTTTTAATTGAATTTAGAATCATTGTATGTAGTGACCTCTCACCTCAGATGTAGTAATTTTCAATAAAACGAGGCATGTTTCAAAGTTTTGTGTCATGTCTTGAGGTTGCAGAGGGGCTAACAAATCCTAACCTTGATGACCTCGTGTTTGGTAGGATACTGGCCACCTAATCTGCAGGGTATAGTTTTGATTTCCCAGGGTCCCTCTTTGTTCCCAAGGCTCGTCCTGCCCTTGACTGCCTTTTCATGTTGCAGAAGGAATTGCGCTCCTTCTCTAAATGGAAGGTGGAGCACAGTTACGATGACATCGCAATATGGAGGCCAGAAGGAGGAGCGAACAGTCTGTGTCCACCCCCAAGTCTGCATCACATTGAACCAGCTCTCTGCGACCACCCCCTGTGTAATGACGACGTGGACTGTGCTTCTGGAAGAGGTAAACTGAGACTGGACAGCACTGAACACTGTAACGCTTCAAAATATTTTGTAAGTGCGCAACAGATTAAATTCTGAGAATTTTACTGTGCAGTTCAAAATTTTTGCCACCTCTGCCGCAAGAATACATGAAGACAGAACATACAGCACAACAACTGCAGGTTCTTGAAGAGTTTTTTCTTTTCATTCCAAGTGATTACCAAATGATAAAATCCATCGTACGTGATGCCTACGTCACATGCATTGTTTGTGATTTTTCATTGTTCATTTGTGCAATGTACACGGGCATAAAATACATTTCCTCATATTTTCTGTAAGTGTTTAATATTGAAATAAGTTATGCTGCCTTTGTGAAGAATATTATTCATATGTAAGTGTTTAATATTGAAATAAGTTACGCTGCCTTTGTGAAGAATATTGTTCATGTCGCTGTTAGGTCTCTGGTAAATATCTCCGTCGACATGTGAAATAAAGGGAGGTAATTCATTATTTATTTTTAGCTTATTAATATCTCCGTCGACATGTGAAATAAAGAGAGGTAATTCATTACTTATTTTTAGCTTATATAACAACAGACTATATAGAGAGATATTAATGATGCGCGTTTATCATTATAAATGCTTTTGTTGATGTGCCACAATTAAGGGTTAAAACAGCTGCTTGCACGTGTTAGACGCAGCGAAGGTGATGTAAAAATCCAACCTTGAATGGATTGATTGAATTGGTAAGTTCACCTGTGTAAGACAGTCCGTAACATGCAATGGGGGTTCTACTGATGTGACCTCCCCATTATATAATACTAATATTGCTGTGGCTTTACACATACAAATACATAAAGAGAAAAAAAGTTTTTCCCTCCTGTTTATAGAGACTGAGGCATCTGGAGCAAGGGACAATGAAACAAGCAGTTACGCGTGCTGCTACAATGGCTGCGTCAACACATGCACCAAGAAGCTGGAACCACCCATAGGTGAGACCTTTGGAATGAGCCACGCTCCGTACGATTTGAGGTTTTCGTGGCAGTGGATACGAAGAGGGCGGTCTACTGGGTTATAGGACCACATAATGTGGTAGAAGTTTACCAACCTTTCATACGTCCTTGCTGCTTCCATCATCAATGTTACACATTGTCACTCTTAGTGCAGACAGCAAGCAGCAACGTAGTTTCGAAAGTAAAAGATAAAGAACGAAATAAAATATTTGGCACCTTTGATTTAAATGAATCATTGATCAGAAAAATCTTCATCAGGAGCTGTTCTACAGTGTTCATTTTGAAGGGCGAAATTAATTAGGTGCTTGGCTTTATTGCAGCATTTGACTGGCTGGAGGAATTTCGTGCAAATGAGGGCAGAACAGACAAGACATCTGGAGTGAGGCAGGGTGCATCAGGAGTGCCAGTGCAGTTACGTACTCGCACAATCCCAGAAGCGATCACGTTCCCAGGGGGCTGCGTCCTTACAGCCAACCAATATATGGAGCTCGAAGGCTTCCGTAGGAATGCTCATATCAACAAGTGGTAAGTCGCAATACTTTGGTGGCAATCCGAGGAACGTCTCCACAAAACGCTGCTCCTTGCTGACACATTTTTCATTGATTCCTGTTACCAAATTTCCACTTGCCATTTTCCTTAGGAAAAGTCCCCTGGCCCTGTACAGGATCAAACCCTGCTCCCCCCCAGACAGCCACTATCTAGACAGAGCTGCCCCAGCTCCTATAAGTGGCATAATGAAAAGAGAGGGGGCAGGGCGCTGTTGTCTCATGTGAACATGGCTGAAGTGTGAAGAAACTTTGTTACTGTACACAAAATATAAACCTGGAATAAGAATACGACATTCAACTCTTGTGACGCTTTCCACTGTCACAAAATGAATGTGTGTTGTTTCAGCTTCTGTGATAAGGGCGGAATTTCGTGCGAGGTGTCACAAGTGAATCTGTCGTAGAGGCAATGTTGCTGCACTTCTCTACTTTGGACCAAGACTCCAATGCAACGGGTGTGAAGAAAGGACACTGCCATGCTTTTATCATCATGATGCAGTGTGAACGTGTATGGCGTTTCCATGGTGAAGTTTCCAGAATTGTCTTTTGCTGCAGAGAGATGAAGAGCACATTATGATGTATTCTTTAAGTGAAGAGGAAAGAAATTGGGGCAATGTCTGTCCTTCAGTGTTACTTAAAACATTTAATATGATAATATTAAACAAAATACAGGACAAATGTTTATAAAGTTTGCCAGCAACAGTATTTCCAGTAAATAAACAATATGTTTCAACATAAAACCTTTAAAAATGTATTTGAGCATGTAGTGGTGTCTACTGTTACCAATGTCATTTCTGGAATTGCGTTTTAATATTTTGGTCCGCAGTGGATGTTGATAGCAGTTATGGTAATGACTGATGCAAATTGCAGGGGACTTGTGTATTCTGTGGCCTGGTCTTCCGGCTGGAACGCATGCAGCACCATCTGCTTTAGGCCTAACCATGAGTAACTTCTAGTTATGATCAGAGAACTTATCTTTTCCAAATAGTTTGACCCAGTTGCTATTTTATTGCTGCCAAGAAAACAAGCGCCCATCAGCCCTACCCTTATTTCCTTTTCAGTCTTAGTGCACGTCTGTAGAAGATAACAGTGTCCAGGGCTTGTAAGCACATGCTTATTATGTTATTGTCTTTGTTGGAAATAATACTATACCTTTCATGATGATGTTAATCGGCTTAAATGCATTTTCAAGGCTTATGGTAATTAAGATGTATTAACAATAAGAACAGAAACACAAACAGTTGGAGCAGTAGAGATTTCAGTTCAATGTGAATTGGACAAGTAATTGGAATTTAAAGAAGTTGTGTGATTCTGGTATCCCTGGCCTGGGCAGCCGTCATACCCCATCCAGCGAGTGCAAATGAGAGGAATTAACAGTGTACCAAAAAAGTGTCACTGTAAAGTGATGGAACTTTTGTCCAATGTAATGCCACTAATCTGCACTACTTGAACTAGTTGCTGTTGTCTGCTATAATATGTAGAAAGACACTGTGACATAATATGTACAACATAACTTGAAATTGTGTGCACTCATGTTTCTGCCCATTCAGTTTGAATGGAACATGAAAAGGTAATAAAATGTGACCACACCCTCATCTTTCCTCCTATGCATGTGCTAACGAGATATCTCTTGGTTGATGGAGTTACAGTTGCGTAACCAGTGGGAAGACAGCTAATCTACAGGTAAGTGGGTGCACTACTCCAATATAATTGTTATTACTGAAATGATCTACAACCGAGTAAGTGGGTGCACTACTCCAATATAATTTTTATTACTGAAATGCTCTACAACCGATAGAACGTCCATCTATGTAATTTATATTTGAATGAGAAGTTTTGTATTTATGCTGTGACATGTTCGTCGTCCTTAACCTGAGCCTGTGAAGGATCTACGGAATGTAAATAAATTTTGTTCTAATCTATTATTCTGTTTCCGTGGTTTCATTTTCTGTGCATGCATGTCTACAATCATCTCTCACGCATTCAGTATTTATTTCCTTTGGTGCACGTGTTTTATGAGCTGTGGTTGGTACTTTATTCTTGCCTTATAATCTATGGCGCAGGTACCTTGACTGCTAGAGAGGTGCGTAATTCGTCTTTTGTTATGCTGTCGTTCAGTGAGAGGTTGTGGGTACCGATGAAGCTGGAGAATTAGTGTGGTAGTAGAACTATTGACGTGTATCGTTGACAGCGAAGGGCGAGGCCAGAGGTCGTAAATAGGGGATAGATGTTCACAGCAAATAGGTGACTTAATCTTACGCGATATGGTTACAATAGGGTTTTTTAGTTCATATAAATTACATAACCTCGTTTGCAATAGCAGCGTGTAAAATATAAAGTTATTTTGCTCTAGCTGGTTTATGTAATGACACATGTTAATGGGGCAGTCATTCAATGATGTTTGTAGTTCTAATCACTTTGCAGAATATCGACGGTTTCGTAAAATATACCTTCGAGACGCTTAAGAAAGCGTAAGGTGTTCATTAATCGCTTTATGCTCTTGTTGCTGCCTTTACATAGACCGGAACGCCGGCCGGTTAGTGGCTTCTCCTGGATAATTTATCAACACGCTACCACACTGTCTGATTGGAGGTTCTGTCCGTGCTTGAAAAATGTTCTCACTAATGCTGCTTATGTGATTATCAACAGCTGCCGAATGGGGTGGCCCCCAACATGCATCACAAATTCTGTGTCTCAATGTTGGGTTATGAAACTTCTCTGGTTTATTTCTGCAGATGATGACTTTTGGTTTGTTGGGCTGTGTAGTCTAGTAGAAGCTTACTGATATTTCAGAGGAGCTTGCTACCTCCATAATCAGGGGTCACCCTGATGACAGCTATCTTCATACTTGCCTCTGTGAGAACCTGGAATCTTACAATGTATGTGTAGACTTTCTGTTTGAATTTTTCTCCGCAAGTAAATGTCACAGGCATTCAGATCAAGGGAATATTACAGCTGTAGTCCTCTATTGATTTCTCAAAAACGGGCCATATAGTATTCATTAAATTGCCTGCCATCTGTGCTGGTGCATTTTCCTGCAGAAATTCTTTAGTTCATACCCCATTCTGTTGGCAATGGACTTGGTTTCATGATGCTTTTTTTGTGCATTCACTTCACTATTGCCATGCCTAACCACAAAACCCACCAAGCACCCTTAAGAGATGAGACCTTCTAACCGACAGACAAACCTGGCATACTGTCATTGTAGCCACTGCTTATGGATGGTAACAAGCGACACATATTTTTATCTAATCATCATAAGACTTCTGTTATTTCAGTCACAGAAGTAAGAGGTCTGTATTGAAGTGTGTAATGCTTTCATTGCAGGTAATTTTCTAAAATAATGGTGCATATAGCACAGTTCCTCATTTATATGGTATTGTGATCTAAAGAAACAAATAAGATGGCAGCACCGAGCTTCCAAGGCCGGCACATGCGGCAGCCTAGCAAAAACACACTTCTTAAAGTGGTCATACTTGGCGATGGTGGCGTTGGTAAATCATGCCTCATGAATCGTTTTGTTAGCAATCATTTCGATGAACACTCATTCCACACCATCGGAGTGGAATTTCTGAACAAAGATATTGAGATAAATGGAGAAATGTACACTCTTCAGGTGAGTAGAAGTTCTGATAACCAATCATGATTCAGTTCAGTACTCATTCTTGATCTTGGCACTAGATGGGGCTGAGTGATCAGCATCATGCCCTGGGTGGGCCCCAGAACTGGTCTGGATGCAGAGGAATTGAACCCCCATTGTCCAGTCACTATGCTAACTGAGCTATACCGGCCCATAAATGTAATAGTATAGAACTCTTAAATTTTAATGTAATTAAGCACAGAATCCATCAGTACTCCATTTTGACACCTTAAACATTGTGTTACTTGTGCCCTTTTACATGTGCACGTAGTCCAATGTGCCAAATAATTTTTTTAGTTCTTAGCAAATGCCAAGATGCCTGGTCAATGTTCGACAAGTTTGATTTTGCTGGTGTTAGACATGCTAGTAGTTATGGTTAAATGATGCAAAATACGTAAGTTTTGGAACCACCACAAAAAGGATTTGGATGGATGCATATGGGTTGGTTAGTTATGATTATGTTTTATAATTGTACTTTAATGTGGTCTGCAGAGCAATTGCTAATTTGTTTCAGATTTGGGACACAGCTGGACAGGAGAGATTCAAAAGCCTTCGCACTCCGTTCTATCGAGGGTCAGACATCTGTCTGCTAACTTACGCAATCGATGACCGTACCAGTTTTCGTAACCTCGCTTTGTGGAGGAATGAATTTCTGTATTATGCCGATGTAAAAGAGGGTACAACGTTTCCATTTCTAGTCGTGGGTAACAAAGTGGACGTCGAGAGTGAGGAGCGTGAGGTGTCATGTGAGGAAGCTCGAGCCTGGTGCATGGAGAACGGGAACCCTCCCCACGTAGAGACGAGTGCCAAAGATGCAACCAACGTGGAAGAAGCCTTCTCGTTGGCTGTGGAGAGTTGGGCACAGCTAGAAGCCAAATTGGACCGACCTTATATTGGTGACACGGTCGATCTGCAGCGACAGCAGCCGGAGCAGAGGTCGTCCTGCTGCCTTTCTGTCGGTAGTAATACTGAATAGTGGTCACGTGACTGATATACGTCTTTAAGAGATTAATCATAGATGTTTATCGCAGTTTCAGATGCATTCGCAGTGATATTACAAAAAATGTGCATGTGAGCTTTGCTTCACCATGCTTGTCTGTCTGTCTACTTGTAACAACTTCAGAACTGCTGAGTGGATTATTTTGAATTTTGATATTGGGGAATTTTACTGAAGTCTCTTGAAACATTCCAATTTTGTCGGAAACTGCGACAGTGGTGGATCCTTCACATGAAGATATAGGTACACTTTACGTTCATCTCAAGCACAGCCCACTATATATTTAAAAGTTGTGGAGACACGTGAAACATTATTGGGCCCAACATATTTAGATATTGTCTTCAAGATAATTAAAGTATTTTAAGTATTATAAGGATTTTTGTGCCGTGTCGTAACGTGAGAACCATTTGACTGATTTTCATCAAGTTTTATATTGCAGGAGCTTGATCAGCCACGCCACTTCTTTTATGTTGTTCATGAGACAGCTTCGAAAGTACTGGCAAGGTAAACAACGTTATTACATACAGTATGCATACATTTCCTAACTTGTTACATTTGAGGCAGCTAGACCCTCTTGATGTCTGAGAATTGCGTCACTTGATGGTTATGGATGCTTGTTCTAATGGATTGGTCGCCTTGCACAGTTGCGTCTCAAAATAACGTTGTACTCTTAATAGTAGATAGTCAGAAGTGTATTTTCAGTGACATTCTTAATTAATGCATTTGAAAGTCAGTAGAAATTGACCGGGTAAGACGCACCTCTTACCGAAATTGGCCTTTGCTAATTCTTGTTCTGGTTGTATCTCAGTGTTGTGTGATGTGTTATGGAAATGAGGTTCAAGATCTGTAGGTTTCTGTATCTTGAGCACTCTCAGCTTGCATACATGGAGTCTCCTCTTCTGTAAGATAATAGTCACAGCTATGTAAGCTCGTCAGGGTATTTGTGGCACTGCTATTTGGCCTTTATATTTGTGTGTTACAGATGACACATTTCAAAGTATTCATGGTCTCTAGTCTTGTGACTTCACAAAGTACCTACCAGTGCATTGGTATTTTATTTTAAGTTCCGATGTCACGCTTCATGTTGTGATTGTTAATTGTTGAAGTACGCACGTGCCTCACTAGTTCTTCGCTGCATGTCTCAGGAATCTTGCCTCATATGACAGCTAAAGTGCTTTTTGGCATAACGCAAACTCTGTAAAGTTACTGTTAGTGGGCTTCGTAGCTCTACGTGTCGTCTGTTTATCGTTAACGTAGACTGCGTCATCGTGTGATACTCTGTAAAATGTAGAAGTATTAGTCATTTAAGATTTTCGGTAAAACTTGCAATCATAATTACGTCTCATTCAAAGCTCTAGTTTTGCAAACATTGCTCCAATTAAACAGCTGCATTGTGTGCTTTCATTCAAAGCTCTAGTTTTGCAAACATTTGCTCCAAGTAAACAGCTGCATTGTGTGCTTCGTCTGATAGACGTGAAAGTATTAAATTGTGATAATTTCTGTCATTTGCTGTTATAGTCAGATTTAATTAATTCGTTTCTTTTTGTTAAGTAAGTTGTGCTACATTGTTATGCAGACATTAATAGATCTTGTGTGTAAATTTAACAGTTGCAAGATTTTTACCAAAAATATTGCTGTGAATGTAATTTCTGTTCTACCAAAGACATTTCTTCACTGCCGTCTTTCTCTGTATGCCCTTTTAAGTAGGATATTGAATACAGGCACTAAAATACATTGTATCCAACTTCTGTAGGATTTGAAGTTTTTGCGGCAGCGAGTCTGAGGATGGCTGTCTCCTAGCTTGTTGTGCCATTTTTGAAGTTTTTGCGGCAGCGAGTCTGAAGATGGCTGTCTCCTAGCTTCTTGTGCCATATGGTCTGGTAGAAGTATACAGACGTTTCAGAGGTACATGCTGACTCCATCTCTCTGAAATGTCGGTAAACTTCCGCCAGACTACTTAACACAACCCAGAAGGCAGCCATCTTTATCCAACTTTGTTGGATTTATTATTAAGTTTTCTGAAGCTCTGTTTAAAACACACCCCTGTTGTGGTATTCTTCTTCCATTGAATTATGGTGTTTAAAACACATTTTTTGCCCATTTAAGTAATGTCATATCTTTTAATATAATTAGGAGAGGTGTGAATCAAATCTGTGGTTTCTGATCTTCGTGTAGTGTCGCATCTTGTACTGGCCACTCTGTTTGTGGACCAGTTTCTCTCCACACAAGTCCACTCACAAACTTAGGCACAATGATGTCCTTTGCCAGATTGTCAGTATTCAGGTGTTTGAAATGCTCCGTGCTATTGTGGTAGCAGAGAGCCTTAGGCGTTTAATACCATCGCAGTATTTCTCGAAAGTCAGTTTTCATTTCATTCTCCAACCTGTATTTGTTTTGTAAATTCTTCATTCATGAGATATTCCTACCATTTGCAACATATCTTACCAGTGAAGAGAAGTGTGCTATAAAGTATATACCTCTTTTTAATGTAAAACTTTACTTTGGTTTCTGTGTGATTCATCATGCACATAGAAATTAAGACCTAGCATAGAAGTGTATTTTTTGTGCAAGTAAACATTACATATTGTGTCTAAAGTTGAAATTTCTGAAGATGAATTGCATAACTGAACTCTGGTAAATGAAACGACTTTGATTTAACAAAGCTTAATAGGTAGATACTGAACATGGCATGTCCTGCATAATCTTTATATGTTGATGCAGAAAAAATTCATGTATTTTTGTAGTAGCAGCCCCTTTCACTTTTTTTTCAAACTCTAAAAATTGTATTGTATGTTACTTCATTATAGTTGCTGGGCGTATATGATTTCCTTTTTGTACAGGTATGTATTTTATTGTACTTAAATGCAAATATGTTGATACATTTTTATGAAATAGTTTCGTTGTTATTACTAAAATAAATGTTCTTAACATGTTTATATACATAATTAGTTCATGCTTTCATTTTAGTTAATTAGTTTGTCTGTTTATGGTCTGGGCTTTTAAAATAAACCTAGGTTAGGTTGTCCAGAAAAGGTTATCTGCATGATGTATGTGGGTTGTCAGCTGTGCTTTGCATCCAGATCACTGGAACAGTGTAGTAACTAGGGCACAAATAGGTTTTATTTTGAACTTGGAGTATACTATGTGGATATGAGTTGAACATCAACACTTTTATTGCTCTTATATATATATATACAGTTGGAAGAAAGCCCTGGAATCGTAAAAGAACATGTTCCTGGTACACATTTAACAATTAATTGATCAGTTAAAATTGTATGTGACATGAAAGGAAGTTTCTCACAGGTTGAACAAAATCGCAAATTATAATACAATCTCTAACCTAATATCATAGTAACAACATTTTGATGTACGGCAAAATTGTCGACTGTTATCTAGCTTGCAGTCGTCATGGAAGCAATTGCTTTCTGAAAGGGAGAAAAATCCTTTCAACTTATGTCTAAAATTGAAAGTTACTGATAACACAACAAGTCTGCACAGTGATATCCCAGTGTATAGGACATTTTAGGATTTTAACATACCTGAGACATGAATCCACTTTCAAAAATTTGTGTTCAGCCTGGGTTAATCTGAATATCAAAAATTAAGTCTCTATAGCTACATTGCACTCTAAGCCTAAGGCCCCTTACAAGCTGCACAAAATGCACAACAGTCCCTTGTAGGTAAGAATTACAAATTTTTGTGCCAAGCACAAGATTCTTAATCTCGGTGCCCAAACTACTCTCGGTCGACTATGTTTAGCTGCTTTTTGACTCATGTTCTGAGCACAAGTCAGTCTCTGCTCCGTTACTGCGTGTCTCGCACTACCATTTTACCCAACGTCGTGCATGGGTGAAAACAATGTTCATACCTTCAAGTAAAAGCATTTATTGAAGGGCTGAGGAGAATATCCGTATCTAAGGAACATTAGTTAATACTCTGTCGGAGAAAATTATGAGAAACTTCACAGTGTTTTCTCTTCATCTAGCATTATTAGGGTCCTTATATCAAAGGATGCTGATAGGGCCAGATGAGGAGTCAAGAAAGTCATGAAGTAGAAAATGTACACAGTATATGCCTTACGTACTACATAATATTTCGGCTGGAAACACTTGTGGAAAGAGACCTCTGAGGAGACCAAATAGTAGATGGTAGAATGATATCAGTCTTGGAGGAAATCAGTTGCATGTGTTCAAGAGTCAGATATTTGGTTCCATAATAATGAAATTTCAGTAGAATAACTATTAGATGCACTGTGCCAAGGAGTTTATGTCCTAACCACAATTCCACTCTTCCAAAAATTAATCAGCTACAGCATTAATGTTTCCATCAGACGGCTCTGGCCACGTCAGAAGACGTCCTATAAGTGAAGTTCATATTCCGTGCAATCAATTATCACACAGAACATATAAATGGAGACAAAGTTTGGCTCAAGAATCTCAAATCATTGGCAAACAACATTGTTACTGAAAACAAATTAGCATAAATTTGGCACCATTGCAAGTTATTTTTTCTATTCTTGATTTATTTGACAGCACTTTAAATTACTTGGATCTTAAGAGCATTGAATGTTAAGATGGTTAGTGAATAATTCATTCGGAGGGATAAGGAAGGAAGTGCTCATATTCTAATTTAAGGTACTACCCCACGACTTTCCTGGATGAACTGAGCAAAACCACAGAAACCCTCATTCAGAATAGCCAGTTTATGTGCTAAAATTTAAAGTTGGGACCTACCAAATATAAAGCAGGAGTGCCAACCATTTGGTTGTGATGCTTGGTTTGCAACATGGTCACATTCAAGAAATTAAAATAATTATTGCTCTAAATCATACCAGAATGTTACATACATCTTTCTTGAATGAATCTCAGACTAGAGACTGGCTATTCTACCTAAGGTTCCTTGTGGATTTCTTCAGTCCCTCCAGCCAGGTACTGGAATAGTAACTATGACCTATCCTTCCAGATCCTTTCCACTTCATAATTTATATAATCACCTTACCATTCGAAAGTAATAACCTAAGCAGCTGATAAATTATTGCTACAAAATTGAAGAATCAATCAATCACAACTGTGATAATGAGGTTTTGTTGCACTTTATACACAAGGGAGAGAAGACATTTCAGTTCTCCGATAGTAAAACTTCTATTTCAAAAAATTCTATCCAAAATGTTACGCAATAAATGAAGTATAATACTGTGACCTGTGAACTATACAACCATGTAACCATTCTTTTAACTGCATCATGCAACTGCTGGGACGTCCAGTTTCAGAACATGAGACAGCCACTTGCGGTGCTGCTTGGCCAGTCGTTGCTGGTGTAATTCATCTGGCTGACAGCCGCTGATAAGTTTTGCTTCATGCCACATCATGGCTCCTTGAAGGTGACATAGATCTCTGTCCAAAGCGCCAAGTTCCTGAGAACTAAGCTTCTGGTCTCTTTCCAACGGGGCATTTTCCGTATTGACGTGGCCGCTAGACACCGCTTCACTAAGCTTCTCCGCACATCTGCTCCTCGTTACACATATACTGCTACTATACCTACAGCCCCCAGTACCATTCATGTCCGTCCTACAATTTAATATCTTTTTAAAAGATACGAGCAAGTACCTGCGATGACACCATAGAGCCTCGTGCCCTGCAAACCTCAGGATGAGATCTGTGTTCAGGAGAAGTTCAGAAGCAATCAATCCTACGGACTTGATCAGAGCGGACTGTACGAAATCAACGTTGTCCTCGTTCTGGCTATGGGAAAGAAGCTGCTGTATCGACTTCCTTCCTGTATCTACGATATCTTCACTAACAGAATGCTTGAGTTCCAACAGACGGTCGAGGAGAAACTGCCGGTACTGCATCCCACTGTGATCCGAGACGTGACTTGAAACCCACGCTTCAGACGCAGCCCACTCTTTGTGGAGAATGGCACTAGTTGCTGGAGCAAGGTTGGCCAGACACCACATTCTGTGACTCCACGCATGGTAGTTGTTAGGATAGCGATCAGCAGCGTAGCGTGATACCTGCAGCTCCTCTTCTAGTAGTGCATCCTTATCTGCACCAGCTGCGCAACAAAACACTTTTTCTGAATGTCCTCATAATTAAAAAAAGCCAAGAATTTTCAGTTGTACAGATATCTGGTATCTATATTTACAACAAAACAGATAGGGCAGGGCAGTGAAGACAAACGGAAAGTCAAATACCCTCAGGGAGATTACTATGTTAAAATAAGGGGTGTGAAAACACTTTAAACTTGAAAAACTTTGCCTCTAAACTTGTGATACAAAACTTTTGTTTCTTTCAGCACCAATCTCTAATCAACGCAGCAGTCTTAAGGTAAGCGAGGAATACTTCCTCGGCTACAAAATCAGAGGCCCTATGACATTAACAAATCCACAGAAAATTACCACTCCCAACATAGAGATACAATCAGTTCCTAGGCTAAAGACTACTGAACTTTCCAAAATCACGCTTGTTATCGTATTCTGTCTTACTGCACAATGCTTAATAAGCTCAGTACTTGTCAGTCACTGGTACATAAAATTAAGAAAGTAAGACTTTCAGCAAAACTTGTAATGAGGACTGGGAATTAATCTTCATCTTCACAGACTCCAATTTATAGCGACAGAAATGGGCAAAAGATTCTCACTGTATTTGTGGCCACTTGAATTAACAGTAACAATATTACATACCTAGCAACAACCTTCTGACCACCCACTTGCGGTGAGCAAAGGCCTCGGTGCATTTTGGCTTACGAGACAACAGAACTGCGATGAAGTGCAGCTCTCCCTGCATGTCCAGTCTGCCGGCCTGCAGCAGCTCTCGGCGCATGTTCCAGAAAGTCGTCACATCAGGATTGATCAACAGAGCACCAGACAGTAAACGTGCCAACATGGCGGGATCTGAAGCAAACAATCATTGATCTAGTTCATTCCTTAATTAGAAGAAATAGCAACAGTAGTTAATGCAGTTTAACCATGCTGCAAAGCATGTCAACGACTAATGCGCAATTGTAAAGCATAATTTCTGCCGACCAAGTGACGCTAAATAACCACCGTAACATTGCGAGACTAACGCGTTTCACAATTTGCAACAGCGTGAAAATGTTCCAAATATCAGATGAATAAAAGTCACACACAATTGACCATTTATGAAATATATATAAATTACAATTCTATAAACATTTTAAACAAGCCTCAACCTTACGCCATACGTACCAGATGTGCACAACAGATCAGAAAATGGTCGCTATGAGACATTTCAGTATCTCTTGCGCACATTAATTTGTGGTTCATTTATTTTGCTGACACCATGGCCAAATTACGCTGGCAGTCAAAAGCAGTTCTACAAGCACATATTGACACACCTCACAATAACAGTGTAATTGTATGTATACCATATTTATCGAAGTATAAAGTGATGTTTTTGATTAATAATGGGGCAACAGATTTCATAGCCACATCACAATCACTAAATTTTTGTCTTTCTCATGGAATCCCAAAATAAATTTGCCTTACATTCAGAACTGCTCTACAACTGTCACAGCATAACAATAATATTTTCAAATTAATAAAACTGTGTTTCTTCTTTTTTTGTTCAAATAATCCATGTAGGATTGCATCAGAAGCACCTAACCTTCCCTGCGACTGCGTAGCTGCCTGGCATCCATGATACGATGATATGTGTAGCAGTAAACGTGGCGGACACACCAGGACTCCAGCCCGAGGCAATGTTCAACATGTAGCACAGGTGACTTGTTATGGTTAGCTGTTACCGGAACAATGTCAAACTCTTTTCTAGAACACAAACCCGTATCTGGTTTCAGTTCTCAAGCACAATACAAGACAGAAAACTTTAATAACTCTCATTGGGCACACTACCAAACTACTATATTAAATGTAAGACTTGAGGTTCTCACATACTATATTACTATATTAAAGCAATAAAACCAGTGTCAGGGCCATTTCGTGGTTTAGTAACAAAACTTGAATAATTATGTACAGTTCTACCAGACAGACTGAAAATTAAAAACGCACGTCGTAAAACAGATGCAGATACCACATAATTTGGCACAAAAAAGTAAATATATACAAGAAGAGGATTTCCGAATATGATGTTACGGAGTACTGGATTTGTATCAAATTGGTTTATTATTTATTATGACATTTCGGTACTAAAATTTTAATACTTTGAAGGTTATGTTCCCCCTCAAAATTTGGCATGAACAAAAATTATAAATGCCACAGTATCACCAATAATTACTGTGGTAGCTTAGTCAGTATAGTGACTAGCTATGGACTGTACGACCGTGGTTCGATCCCCGACGGGGATAAAGGATTCTTTTTTGCAAATAGCCGGACAGTTTTACTTTTACTTTACACCAGCATCAGTGCTTAATAACAGACTATTTACTCACAGTTTCGGGTCTTTTCTGAAAACCGCGTCTATCTCTAATAAAATCCTTTCGGCTGCTGGAAATGGATCGTCTTGCATCATTTCGCTAGATTTCCTACTCAGCTTTATCTAACCCTTCATTTCACCACGCCTACCATTCTTTACTTTTTGTTTATTGCGTTACTCCTCTATTCTCCGTTATTGCTCATGAATTTAATCATACTTTTCACACATTGCCGATAGAATTCGTCGTCAGCTTTGAGCACAGATGATACCCTGAGTGAATAACACAATTTTAATCATCTGGAATCTCGAATACTCGTAAGTAATCCTTGTGAAAATTAAGTCTATCGAAAAATATTCAAGATATTCGTACGTTCGTTTTCACTACACTGAGAAACAGTTTGCATTTTTTAAGTCAGTTATACAATTAACTGTGCAACCATATTTTATGCATTGGTGTAGTCAAGTGACATATGTGCAATCTTGTGGTGGGAAATGTAATTCTGTAATCACACTTAACCTTTGGTTAACATCTGTTCTCATTTGTCCACTTCGCGTGCTAGCCATATAAAGTCATAAGCATTTTATCTATGACAGGCACAGACTACCAAATTTGGAAACTGCTGTAACCTTGATTTGCAGGGGTTTTAGAATAACTGCTGAAGGTAGAAAGCATGCGGACGTGTACTGTGGTTGGGTTAGCGTTATTACGTGCAAGGAGTTCTCCAAATTTGTAACAAGCTGTAATTGTGTTGAAAGTGATGGCAGATCCTCGCATAAAAGCTCTTCGAATTAAAACTGGAGTTGTAAAGCGACTGGCAAAGGAGAAAGTATTGTACGAAAGGGAAGCAGATGAACAGCGACATCGTATTCAGGAATTTAAAGACCAAGGTAGAAGATATGTCTGGTAGTTCTTTTGATGATGTATTTAGGAGTAGGTCGCGTGATATCTCAGGTTTGAAGATGGCTGTCATGGGGTTGTGCTGTGCAGCCTAGAAGAAGTTTACTGCGAAACACTGTTAAACTTCTACCAGCCCACATGGTGGAACAACCCAGAAGACAACCATCTTCTGTCTACCATACATCTGTATAACTATAGTGATGACTTTTTGTGTGCCATGTTAATTTGCTGGTTGCTTGAAGATTCAGTTTTCCCATTGCCCTGAATGAAGGAAGTTCTTTCTTGTATTTGATAAGTGATACTGGTTTTTCAGGAAAAGACGAACATGATATTCGTAAACAAGAAGAAGTTCTACAGGAATCCCTGATGATGGTTCCTGACTGCCACCGACGTTTGGCGAAGGCATTTAATGAACTGAAAATTCTCTTGGAATCTGAAGCAGCCCTGAGTGAGTCAGAAGAGTATATCACAGCCAAGAAAGTTCTGGAGGAAGCAGAGGCACAGCTGCCAACTTCTGTAGCATTGCAGAACATGTGTTAAACTGACTAAAGAAACTAACATATCTAATGCGTTGTTTTGTGCTGTAATATTAAACTATATTCTTCTCTTAATTTTTCATCAATAAAGTATTAAAAGAAATTGGCTTCAAATTACATAACATTTTAATTCATAAAGAAGCCGGTGTTAATAGTGTACGTGAATCATTAAGAAATGGCTTACAGATTCCCCCCACCACCCATAAACAAACTGAATTGTGGGGTCGTGTCACCTCCGTCTGTTCCAACAATGAACTTTAACATTCCTCCGCCTGGGTTCAGGTCTCCATGGCTCTCTGATGCTCATCTTAGTGAGCCCCCACCGCCATATCCGTGGCCCCCCCAAGAGCATTCTGTGCTTCAGCCCCAAGAATGGGGCCAAGTGACCTCGCCCTATGAAGATATACGTTCACATGTGACTGCTGATTTGCTGTGGCTGAAAGATTGGCTGCATAGAAGGAGAATTGACACTCGTTTATGTCAGAAGAAGAAGAAGACTGTGCCTCTCAAGGTGCTCATTTCATGCACACTTTTATCTTTTTTATGCATTAACTGTATGTGGTATGGGAACTGATGTTTCTTCTCTTTACACGTTACTTTGTTACGAAGCCATAGTCCCATGTTATGTGAACTGTTACATAGGGTTATCCTACACATTTTGTTTTTTAAACATTTCTTTTAGATAAGATATCAGGGTTCTCGTAACAAAACTGTCTCCTGGGTTGTTATGCCATGTAGTCTTGTAGAAGTTTACGATGTTTCAAAGGTGCCTGCTTGCAGCTACTATCATCAGGGTGACTAGTAAGCCACGCACCGGGAATTTGTTTGAAAACCGGGGACCAGCGAGACGAAGAAGAACCTTCGGCAGACTACGTTGCGTAACGTCTCATGAGATTTGTTTTTAATATTTGTAGCTGTACTAATTTTGACCAGATTGAGCATGTGACTGATATTTTGAATCTTATAACATGATTGTTGAATATTATACTTTGTACTTTGGGTGTCTGCTTCGAAATTATCTTTATATATCAGTTAAGAAAATTTTAGGTTACAAAACTTTAAGAACAGAATATAAACCATTGTTTCACTTCCCCTTGATTTTTTTCAGGTATTTGAAGCCAGATGCATGTTGCAGTTATGCCTAACCAATGTGGAGGACTTACGCAGTCAACAGAAAGAACTGGAAACTCAATGCCATGATCTGAGTCCTGTCTGTTGGAGAGAAAAGTGGGACCACGTTAGGGAAATTCAGGTGAGTTGGTAATATTCATCACTAATCAGCTTGTAGGTGCTTTCAAATGCTTTGATATTTTGATGGTGTATGTGCTGGATGCGCATGTTGTAAATGACGTCTTTCACGCAATCGCAGACCCGATAAAAATGTTGTTCCAGCATCTTGATTTCTGTCTTATGTCTGATGGTTCATTACAAATCGGCCTGTATTTCATCCTTCATTACTCGGTAAACGGTGCACTCTTTTGAATCTAACGTCGTGATGATGTTTGTGGGTGGTTGATTATCGGCTGCATCAACAAGATAAAACCCTCATCAAAAACTGTATAATGGCAGTGTTGGTAGGCCGTTGTAAATGCGTGGAAATGTCAAAAGGTGTATTAACAAGTTTTATTGTTACCTTTTCTGCACAATTGCTTTCATTCGTGATAAGAAGTCAAAACAAATCTTATGATGTGCCCATCATGCATGAATTCATGCACATAACCTTCGTGTGAATTGAAGCTCCTGTTTTATTTAGGTTCAGATAAGTAACTGTTTGGATACGCTGTGTGATTCTGAAAGTGTAGACGCTTTGAGGATAAACTTACTGAAACGCAGTAAGAAACGCCAGAGAGAGAGAAGGCGAAGAGCTTTACACCGAGAAGCTGCGAAGGAATCCCGGGCCAGAAGACAACATCTGCACCGGCATATCGACACCTGGCTTAAAAACATGCAGGAAGTGGTTGAGGAAGCCAAGAGGGTGAGTCTTATTGGTTCGGTTATGGGCAGACAAAATGTCTGCTCTCCTCTACCGTTCTTCACTTCCCTTCCTACTCTGCTACCTAGCAGAGCGTAGTCAGCAGTATACCCGTAATGTACCGTGGCAAAAGATGCCAGCTGTAAGTGAAAGTTACTCTTGGTATTGACAGCGATTCTGTTTTGTAATTGAAAACATGCGTGACTATGGACGTGATTGCACAACTCGAGCTGCTGTCCAGACCTGAAACCTGAGATAAACGTTTTTAGCAAGACGTGGCCAAGACTTCCACTGCTACACGTAACGGCCGCTTACTCCCAAGTAGTTTGACCATAGTTATGCTCATGTTGACATTTGTAGACTGCAGACAACCAGTTTTGTTGCCAGGGATAAGTGACAGGTTAGATTACATTCAGTTCTCATGACTAGGAATATGTTTCTCGTATTATCATTCCCGGTATATATTTTTACCGTAACAAATTTACTTGTTTGTGATGTCCTTAGGTTACAACACAAGTGACTCACTATTAAGACCTACTTTTCAAGTGTTTGTACATTGGTTAATTGTGTTGAATGAAACTGAGGGACTCTACTGTGGTGCTGTTCTAAACAGTGATATCAGCAATCCTGAATTTTATACTAACGTGAAGTGTGTGTTGCACGAATGTAATGTAGTTGTATTGATTTGGGTCTTCATGCATATTAGTTAATATTTCTCAAAACTCACGTTCCATTTTACCTTCTTATGACGACTGATGCGTTCTTCTTGCGTCACCGGTGTTCCTCGTAGTTGCCGCCCATACAGCGGAAAGAAAGCGCATTTGCATTCAGTTGTAGACACTCTGAACTACAGCAAATAAGTTCATCATGTTTAGTCGTCAGCTCACTTGGTCGTCCTTCACTTTTATTGTTCGTGGTTTGTCAGGAAGAGAGCCTGAAGCACGAAGCAGATCAAGTGCTGGCAGAGGTCACCCGCAAGAAGTCAGAGGCCCAGCGACAGATAAACATGTTGGCAGCATTGCAAAAGCTTCGCCATATCAGAGCGCAGATCGTGACGAACAGAGGCCAGCACGTGGATGCAGAGAGTGGACTCAGATTTGCGAGAGTCACAGGTTAGTTGCTCTAATAGATTTAATCAACCAATGAGCTGTTTGTTTAAGCCGAGAAAGGCACGCGATCGACGTGAGACTTCGGGATTTCGCGGCTGACAGAGCTCAGATCGGTCTTCTGGGTTGTGACAGTGTGTGTGATTTTGTAGGCGGTTACCAAGTTTTGAAGGAACGTCTTTTCAGTAGGTGGAAACAGTGTGTTCCTGTGAAATACTGGTAACCGCATTGTCACAATCCAGAAGACCATAGTCTGGAAACTTGAGAGGAGTGTAAGTGTGTCTAAATGTATCTTTGATTTAATCTTTGGTGTGTGCTAAATGTTACAGAGCATTTGGCAAAGTTGTGGCAGGACCAGTTGAAAGGCTACGACGTGGAGGAACAAGGCTTGCGAGTGATGTTGGATGCGGCTGTGGTGGAACGGACCAAGTCGGAGGTGTCGCAGGACAAGCAGATACTGGCTGAATGGGAAACTTTGCTGTTTGGGAAACGAGACGCATGTAGCAGTTTCTACAAGGCAGCAGAGTGGGATTTGGATGCATTTGTTGCACTGAGGTACGCAGGAACTTCCAATTCTTTCAGTGCATCTCTCAAGATACTGTGTGTGTGTGTGTATATGCACTTATGTATGCAAAAGAAGTTGCATGATTTTTAGTTTGTGAGTGTTAAGATAAAACAGTTACTGTGACTGATATATAATATTGAGGTAACGGAACTAGTAGCATTTATTCACAACATGAAATTCTGTCAGTTATCAATAGATTCAACGAAAGATCATGGATAACGGTTGTGCCATGTTAATGTTGTATATTGTATTATATTGCAGACATTCTTGGGACCAGTTTGTGGCTTCCCCAGGGGTTGTAATGTCATCTTCAATTCCTGTGGGCTGGGTCCTCCCATGCAACCCATCGTCAGAGGAATGGGAATCTCTTCTTACTAGCAGCAACAATAAACACTTGAAAATGTGATGTACGTTTAAGTTCCATCGAAAGGTTTGTGTGTCATACTTTCTGTTAATTTCTGGTAGAAGTTTTCTTTTGCTTCCGTCACCCGACGGGGCTTCGTAAATGTTGGCACACAGGATACGCAGAACTTCGTGCAATAATCTCAAAGGCTTATTGAGAAATTAATACGAAACTCAGTAAGATTCATAGTAGAGTTCTTCGTAAGAGCCCTTTCAATTGTCGGTTAATAATTGTTTGAAGGTACTCTCTTTGAACATGGTTTTCTAATTTTTTCTATAGTGGCGTATAAAACCGGTTATTACTGACATTCATGGCTCTGTGTAACATTATTTCTTCTTACCTTATAATGTAATGAAGTAAACCACAAATACAATTAAAAACATTTCTTTTATGGTCAGGAATGATAGGGGTGATTTTACTTCTGGATATGCGTGTAGGTTATTTGAATCTGTGGTTTTGTATGTATCAGATTTCTTGCTTTCACTGGATAGTGGAATGGTGTCTGGACCTAAATGAATGTTTCACGTGTCTGACTCATGAAATTTTAATTACATTCTCACTATAACATGATACATGTTGAGCAAACATCACATTCCATAATTTTTCTTGTCGCACAGTTAAAGCGACCTTAGCACACAATAAATAGCCACACATATCAAGAACCATCAGAATTCTGGGTATATTAATATTACTACAGTTGGCTAGAATAACACACTTCATTCTGAAAGATCACACCTAACATTCGGTGATGAAACTTTTTCTTTTTCTTTCTAGAAGCTCCGTAACCTCACAAGATAGAGTATAATGAGACAGGCAAGATACAGGTTCTACACCAAATAGGCAGAGTAAAATATAAAACTGGCGACCATGTCTGTCGTGGTATGCAATTCTTGTGACATAGAAACATGGGACAGTTGTAAAAAATTCTGGAGATACTTCCATTCTTGTAGCTCTCCTGCTATATACACTTCTACTCATATTTTTAAATTCTTGACAGAGCATCTTATGACGTGTAACAGAACTATCGCTTGGGGACAGCGCAGTACTCTGCTATTTAAGCCGTAATTTACTTTGTTCAGGCGAGAAAGATCAGCCATAAAAATGCCTGTATATATAAAAGTAAGCTACAAATAATGTGGGGGCGATGAGAGAAGGTTAATAATTATACTATATTATTATAATTGATGTTCTCTGCTAATATAACTGTAGTTAACATTTACAAAAGTTTGACAGTGGGTCATTCATGTAAAGTCAGCAAATGGATGTCGCGTCACTGTCGCAGAATATTAAGTGGAGCTTCTGTGGCATCACCATTTGAGACATTAATGTTCAGGAAGTATAAACAAAATAAAAATATAATGCTGTTGTCACAAAATCAACACAGCAGTAACTTTTGATGAGACTGACATTATTTTATCCTGAAATTGTAGAGCCATGGGAATACTTTTAGGGCATTCGTCAACACTGAAGTTGCAGCTTCGCGTATTCCTCGGATAATTGGGGTGAAGTTCTTTTGTACTGCACGACAGTCCATTTGCATACCTCATTTACTTAGGTTTGTCAGGCCACACAGTTGCCAATTCTACCAAAATTGTATTGCCACTTGGCAAATAATGTACTCAAAATTCAGCATTGCACTCCTACTCTACTCTGAAGGAACCACGTATTTATAACGTTTACTTATAAACACGCCCCTCCTTACCTTAAGCATATGTATGTTGAAGTTCACTCTCTTCTGGGATATGGCTGTGTAGTCTGGTATTTTACTGACATTTCAGAGGTGATATTCTCCAAAATGTAAATTTTTGTTACAGTTGATTTTGTAAGCTTTCATGCCACTTACAGATTTTATTTTCAGCCTGTAATTCTCCCACAGTGGGACATCCACACAAGTTTTTTTTTAATGTGGTGCCAAAACATTATTTTGGTTCAGTTTTGTGATTTTTTAACATATTTAAGGTAATGTAGGTGAGTAATGTTTTTCAAAACACTGTAACAAAAATTGTATGCAACCAAACAGATTTGTTATTATCCCGAGTCACCTTATGCTGTGATTAGATTTTTTGTGTTGTGTGGCAGACCATAATTGTTCCCATCCATGTGCATGTCGTAATACAAGTGTTAACTGTTCTCTATCGAAACATCATCAATGGAAGACCCACAGTGTAGACTCCAGGTTGTTACATTGCTTCCTAATTACAAGTGTCTCTTAATTTCATTGTGCATCGGCTAGTGACGCTTTTTGTCCATAAGCTCTTGTACGGGGCGCCCGTAACCCCTGATTAGTCAACTGTCTGCAGGGCTAGTAACCTGTATGTACTGGTGCTAAGACCTAATTAATTAACATACCATCCTAACAGTGGATGTAGCTAGAAGGGCCAAGAATAATGCAGTTTGAACAAATTAATATTGTGTTTAAATTTAAGTAGTAAACAATATTACAGATAAAGAGGGAGGACATAACATTGTCTTTTTAACATACTAAGGTTTCACCATGCACAATAAATGTAACTCAGAATTATGTTAGCCATCAATGGATTTTATGTAAAGAATACATTCAATGTTTGTACCAATATTACTTTACAAACCCTTCAAAACTGACAGTGTTCCAACATGTGTAAAGTAAGTAAGAACATATCAAAAATTTAGTGGGCTCTCTAGGCCATCATACCAATCTGCATATATTATAGGGACCAGACATGTAGGACCTTCGATAGAAACAGAAAACAAATATTCAGTACGGATTTCCGTGAGGGACAGCAGAGACAACTTTATTTGATGTTCTCTTTAGGCAGTTTTGTGAAGGGACAGAAGAAAACATAAAAACTGACAGAATCAATCACAGTTCCTCTTGAATATAAAGCAAAAGTCCTGTTATTTTGAAACATACAAAACAAACTCAGAACAAATAAATTATGCATATTAACAAACTTTATTTTCAGTTATGTCTGCAAAAATATCCAAAATATATGTAATTAAAATTGTGTAGTGTAAAATCTGAGAGGCATTTGATTGTTTTGTCAGGACATTCCACATGCAGATGAATGTACTAAATGTCTGGTCACTCCAGTGCACATAAGCCAATTATGTAAATGGCCGTAACATAAATTGCATCACTCTTCTATACTAGCACGTAAAATCACAGACATCAGCTGAGACATGTAATCTCTTGAAGTTTCAGATTTTCTGTAATCCAAGTAATTAAAAACAATTTCTAGAAATATTTATTATGCTTGCCATCTTAAAAATGCTTTCACATACACATCGAGGCTGGCAAGAATTGTAAATTAATAATCATAAAAGCGGGTGATGTAATTCTGCATAAATATCCTCCAGATTGCTTTTACTTGTTAAGTTGTCACACATAAATGCTCACCATGTTTATAAATGTTAATGCACAAAAAAGTTTCACACAAAATTTTCATACCTGCCTTATTTCCATAAAAAATTTCAAATGTCTTGACTACAATTTATCAGTATGCATTATCGGGTGTAAAAATAAATAAGATTTCATGCAATTGCTATGTTACCCAAAATTACATTTAAAGGTTGTATATTTAATTAAAGACCCATTGCCATGCAATTTCAGGGTCCTAACATTCAAGGATAGGCATGTAACTCAAACCTCAGAAGACTGCATGGCTGGCACGCTGATGATATTGATGATATAAAATTAAAAAGTTTTAAAGTGGAGTTGTCTCCAGTGACTTCATACTGAAACCAAGTTTCATGAAAATACTCACGTTCCAAAGTTATTAGTGATATCATTAAATGCTGATAATGAAATTAACTAAAATGTGGTGAAAGAGACGGAGGAAACACACGCAAGCATCTGGTTCGAGGATCATCAGTGTTACCAGATCAAACAGATTTATACAGATTCATGCAGTCATTACATAAGAGCAGCACTGTTAGAGAGCACGTGTTACACTGATGGGAAGCTCACAGCAGAACGCTACTTTGTTACTGTGGCGTGTGCTTTCACATACTTGTTCAAAAAATGTTACTGTGAGAAGATACGCAGACACGATGATATTCTGCTTATGGACAGAGTAGCAGACGAAGGATCTGAAAGTTCTTGTACCTTTCCTCATTAACTGACCTGCCATTTATTTCTTCATGAAATGTTTCTGTGTAATTTCATGGACAGGAACTCATAATTTTCAAACTTTTGCTTCTAATTCTCTTACCCCAAGATTCAGTAAATACCATACATTCTATTGACCTTACTGACTTAACCTCTTCTGGTCACACCTTTTCATTTTACAATACAAAATAAAAGACAGAGCAATTTTGTGTTGTTATTCTGGAAAGTTCATGTTCAGTTAGGCATGTCACACACAGGAAAACAGTTGAATGAAATCAGTCTCATAAAATGGCCCAGCAGCCATGAGAATGACGAACTTCAAATATGGAGAAAAACCGAGGGACTTCGGCATTAAGATGAAAGCGAATTTTGTAAGCAGCAACCATTTGGGCCAGTACACACTTTCTGGAATGTGTGGATGTCAGCACTATCGAAAGTTAAAGAAAAAGAAGAAGAAATGGAATTGTGAGACGTTAGTAACATGATATACGGATCAAAGGACTGCTCTCTGACTTGAGGAAGAGTGATGGAATGGTTGAACAGAATTCTGTGGTTGCTGGCGATCCTCTGCAGCCTCGCAAGTTAGTGAAACCCTGGTGCTGTCCTGCCGTGTGCAGTCGGAGTCAGGAGAGACGTGTTGGTGACAGGAGCGAAAGCTCACCTATGTCAGTGCAGTAGTACATGAAAGTAATAGTTATTCCTGTTCATACCCTTATTCTCCTGTAGTATGTGTGTCTATCGAACCAGGAATCTCAGTGATAAGTGATTTTGTCCTCTCCTCAGCTTCTTCACACATCAAGGGACTTGGGATCGACCACGGTGCATTACCAAGGAACATCCCTATGTCAATTTTTTTCTCCTGAAGGCGCTACCAGGACCAGGCCGTAGGGAAGCTATCGAGGGTAAGGGTGGAGGCAGTTCTACCAAAGAGCGTGTTCACAGCAGGACCGCAGCACAACAAGAGGGCTTCACGGTAGGTGAGTGAAGTCAGCCACAGCTGGTAACAAAGCTGACAAGAATGTGGGCAGTGTGGGGGCATTGTACCACGGCTACGGCTTCATGAAAGAAACATTTTAAACTAGAGGCAACCCAGTCACGTGAAGTCATTGTTATGCAACTGTTATGTGAAACTCAGCTGAATGGTTTCCTGCAACTTCAGTTTTGTTGGGAGTGCGTGCCATACAGTGGCTTTCTGATTTGTCTAAAAATAATGGGCAAAGGAGGTGTCCCATATAACCTGAAGCCTCTCATCATTTACATTTAATTATTTAGCAATATTGGTGCAGTGTGTGTGGAGAATTTACAACGTTGATGCGATACTTCTCATCGTTCATGGACATGATCAGCAAGAAACTGTTTGCATGAAACTTATTACAAGCAACTAATTTTCTCTATGTATGACCTGCCTTATTATTTCCATTACATCTGCATAACCGAGAAGAATGGCTGACATCTGCAGGTGACTTAATTATTATAATACTTAACAGATAAGTCTGAGTACAAGGTGCCAACAGATAATTTCAACTGGATTAGATGAGGGGAAGATTTGGACTCATTGCATTGCACCGATGAGATGGCATTTTGATACATCACAGGAACTTCATTGGAAGAGGATACAGTCTCACCTCTCCTGCAGTTTTGAGCAGGACAACCCCCTGCAGGAAGTGCTCTGCCTCGCACCAGGGTATAACGTTTCGTCATTCATTGCCACAGGCCTGCGTAGTTTCCGTAAAGATTTGCAGGCAGCGGCCCTCCGGCAGTAAACAGTCGCGTCCCAGAAGAGTCATAGCAGTGTGTATAGATGGCAGGCGTGTACTTTATATGTTGGAAGCCGTCGATATATTCTTCATCAGGAAACTGGACATAAAACATCCAACAGAGCAATCATTTACTCCAAAAGAACATGGAATGGTGATACTGAAATCTAATTTAATGCAGATGAATTTTGAAAAGTTATAGTGCAAACTAATGTGAAACCATTGGCACAATAGGATGAACAAGTTGGAAATATCACATACTTGTAGGACGCAATTCGGTGGTAGTAATAACATGATCTGTTTGTTTATAGATTTATGTAATTGCTCATAGTTAAAAACAGTAACACTAAATAGTATAAAGGCTGTCAGTAATTAATTAGGGAGGATGTGTGGAAAAGTCTATTTCAAGGTAGTATACAAGTTTTGAAGGACTGAGGAAAACCACAAACATTCCTCCAGGATAACTGATCTCTGGGCTGACATTCAAAATGTGGGACTCTCCTGAGTACTGAAGCAAGAGTGTTAACCACCGCACTGCGATGTTCTGAGAGATGAAAGCTTACCACCCAGCCTTTGGATGCCTTAAGGTGCACAGTTCGACTGGAATTTATGCTCGACTCCAGGTACTTCCCTGCCCGGAGGTCATAGAAGAGAAGTATTCCAACACCAGTTCCAATAGTCAAGACATTGCCTTGGAAACTTGCCGATCGAATACCTGGGAAAGGCAAGGCAAAGAACTTTTAGCTGGGAATCAAATTGAACAGTTAAACTTAAATCATAGTCAACAGAAATGAGATATTTAAGAAGAGTGGAAAAGACTAGCAAAAATAAATGACAATAAGTGAAGAAATGTATGCAGAGCGCAACAATGGTTCACTTGCTCTGTTGTTGCCTCCAGATTTTCAATTTGTGAACGTGTTATTAAAAGTAATACGAGTGGGTATGGGAAGATGTTTGTCCTTTGGGACTGGTACCAGTGACATTTGCATGGCAACTTGTCTGGCTGTGGATTCATCATGTGGGGATTCCTCACCCAAAAACTTCTGTGAGCACAAACACACGTAGGTATTCACATAATGTGACTGTTGGAATGTATCTACAAATTTCAGTAAAATTACGAACGTAAAATATGAAAATCCACTCGGTGGTTCTCAAAAGTTATGTGCAGACAGGCATGAACGAAACAGCTAACAATCCTAATTTCTGGAAGCCTTAGTTGTGAATGCGCCTAAGTGCCTAAAACATTCACAGCTCTGATAATTTGGACATTATAGGATATGCAGTGAAGAACCCAAGATAATATGAGAAGAAAGTGAACACACAGCCTAACTACAAACAGACATAAAGCAGATCCAGATAAGTTCTGTTCATGGCCATTTTCTGAAAAGAAAAATGATATTTCACGGTTTTATGATTATGTTTTATACCGTCTTAAGTGAGATGAATAAGGATCTGTGTAACAATAGCATACAAATGTAGTAAAAATGTAATAACGCTTATAATGTTTATAAAACGTAGATTGTTAATGAATATCTACCACGGCACAAACGAAGAGAGGGCTTGGATAAACAGTAATAATAAAATAAATTTTCTTAAATCACTTATTTCTTACCACAGCCACTGTATCGTGGTGAGATTTTCTTGACAGCTTGAAGTGTTCGGGCATCCAGAAGCAAAGTGTACGAGCGACAACCCACAGCATACATTCCTGCGTCCTGAACGGCTAGGCAGACATTTTCTTGGCATGATGGCAGCTTCCTTGACAGCTTCTGTGTGATGTAACAAGTTTGTACAGAGCAAGAAATAAGCGTACTTTGGATATTTGGAATTATATTACATAACTACATCCATGAAGCAGAGATTCCTTGAGAAGCTAATTGTCCCACAACTAGTCAAGAAATTTGCCACATTTTATGGAACTCTAAACGTTTATTACTGGTTTCACAAAACCCCACTACTGGACCACACCTCCTGTCGGCTGTGTGAGCACTAATTCTATATGTTCATGGCTACTCTTCATATCTGGAGTGTCTATTTCCTCCAGCTGCACTTGAAGATGCACCACGCCGTCATGACGAGGGACTCGCTTCTCACAGATCTTATGACATAAACTGGGGGGAGGGGGGGGACATGAGCAAGGGATAGAAGTGGTGAGG